ATCCTGCTCCCTCCCCCTCCCTGGAGCACTCCCCATGCCAACCTGGCCTGGCGTAGTGCTAGTACCACCCCCCGGCCCCGCCTCAGCGCTGCCTACTCGCTGTGCCAAGCTGGGGCAGTTTTGTGACTCAGACCCGGGGAAGCTCCCAGCTTGTCCCCTGGGTGCAGCACCCTGGGCGTGACCCCAGGCTGGGAATGGGGCACAGCCATGACCTCCCAGGGACGCAGCAGGTGCTGTCCCTGGTGGCCTGGGACACTGCTGCTGCCAGACGCCTTGCAGGGCCAGTGGGACCCAGATGAGGCAGCGCACTGGGGGGGCTGCAGGGGGCAGCTGCCAGGCCCTGAACGTGGCCAGGATGCAGCCCTCCGGCCCTTGGCACGGGGCCAGGCAGGGGAAGCGAATTGCTGTTTGGCCTGCAGCTCTGGCTCCCTCACCTCCTGCTAATTGTCCTGCCAGCTCCCCCACTCTGCCCCGCCTCAGCCAGGCCAGATCCCCCCGCAACGCCTCAGCCGGGGCAGGGAGCCCAGCTGGGCAGCGCCAGGGCAGCAGCGGGGCCTGGGCACAGTGCTGCAGACCCAAGGTGAGGCCCAGGGAAGCTCCCGGGCAGCAGCAGGCCCCAGAGCAGTGGAAAACCCAGGTTCCCTTCCCACTCCTGAGTGCTTGGGGGAGGCCTGCGGGGAGCCCAGCCAGCTGCAGGGCAGGGGCGTCTCGGGCGGTACCTGCAAGACGGAGGGGGAGCCCTGGCGCCCCAGGGTGCCGAGAATGAGGCCCCAGGTGCGGGCGCGGGCGGCGGTGCGGATGGCCTCCTGTCGGGCGCGCTGCATGCGCTCGTGGGCATAGTGCTCCCTGGACAAGACCTTGCCGTAGGGGTCGTACCTGTGAGCAGACGCAGGGCTGAGGGGACGTACAGCCGGCAGCGCCTCCCTAGACCCAGGCCCTGGGGGGAGGGAGCCTCCAGGGCCTGGCGCTCAGAGTGGACACCACGTTCGGGGGAGGGGGCTGACCCCCTCTTCTGGCAAGGAGGAGCCTGGAGCCAAGCAGAGGGCTGGGGGGTGACCCCTCACTGCTCTGCCATTCCCGTCAGTCCCAGATAGCCAGGCTCTCCTCTGCTGCCCACTGAGCTACCTGCCCCATGGGGGCAGTGCACAGGCCAGCCACGGCCAGACGGCTCCTGGGGCTGACACATCGCGTCCCCTCCTCAGGCCGCCCTGCGCTGCCCGGGCCGAGGACAGAAGCCTGGTTCCTCCGGCCCAGCCAGCCCAGCCCAGCGGGCCCCTCGTCGCGGAGGCCGGGCCTCTCGCTCTCTCCCTCAGCAGTTATGCAGAAAACTGTGATTTGTTGCTTTGTTTGACGAAGAGAATTTTAATCAAATCCCACGTGGGCTGCAGCAGCTTCCCCAGCCCCATAAACCGGAGGCGCCTCTCCCGCCAGTAACAAACGACCTACTAAGAATTCCGATTCCACCGAGCGGGCCAGCCTTTTGCTCCCCATCGTTCATCTGCTTTCAGCAGCCTCCTTCTGCCTGCAGCAGCCGGAGTTTAATGGCTGCACCTCAAAGAGCTTTCCCAGGTACTTGTCAAAATGTTTATATTCAGCTGGAGTAAATGGCTGGTGTTCATCTCCCCCCCCTCCTGGCCCTGCTCCTCCCGCCAAGTGCAGAGGGGCTGGAGTGCCTTGCGAGGACATGGGGGGTGGAGCCCTGGGCCAGGGGCTGCCCCAGGAGCAGCCGCCCCCCACGCCCACGGCCCGGCTGCCCAAGCACCGTGGGGTGCTGCAGCGCAGCTGGCGAAGACGCTCTCCCCTTGCCTGTGGGAGTGGCAGAAGATCTCCTGGCCGGAGCCCTGTGCACATGGGCACTCCCCCAGGCGGAGGGACCCACAGCACCTGCAGCGGCTCCTGGGAGCAGGCCTGCTGGTGGGAGCCCAGTGGCT